CTCTCCAGCCACTCCTCCCCAAGCCTGTGGCGCTGCTGGGGGCTGTTGTGGCCAAAGTGCAGGACCTGGCATTTGGCCTTATTGAAACTCATGCAATTGGCCTTGGCCCAGCGATCCAGCCTGTCCAGATCCCTCTGTAGAGCCTCCCTACCCTCAAGCAAATTGACACTTGGACCCAGCTGGGTGTCATCTGCAAACTTAGTAAGAGCACACTCTGTCCCCTCATCCAAATCACTGATAAAAACGGCTCCAGTACTGAGCCCTGGAGGACACCACTCGTTACCAGCTGCCAGCTGGATTTAACTCCACTGACCACAACTCTTTGGGCTCAGCCATCCAACCAGTTTTTCACCCAGCAAAGCGTATGCCCATCCAAGCCGAGAGCAGCCAATTTCCGTAGGAGAATGCTGTGGGCAGCAGTGTCAAATGCCTTAACTGAAGTCAAGGCAGACAATATCCACAGCCTTTCCAGCCCGTGGGTCACCCTGTCATAGAAGGACATCAGGTTTGTTAAACAGGACCTGCCCTTCATAAACCCTGCTGACTGGATTTGATCACCTGGTTTCCTGCGTGTGTTGCATGATGGAACACGGGGTGATCTGCTCCATCAGCTTTCCTGAAACTGAAGTCAAGCTAACAAGCCTGGAGTTCCCTGGATCATTGTTCCGTCCCCTGCAACCGTTCGATCAGGATATTGACTTTTATTTTAAAGACAGACATTACTTTTTATTTCCTAAAATAATTCCAATTTAAAACTTATACAAAACAATGGATATTACAGAACTTTTGACGCAGCTGTATGCTTCAGATACTTGTTTGACTCTTTTATCCTAGGCAGACATGTGACTTGCTCTGTGTAAAGTACTTAGTGAATTGCAGGAGGCACCTTCTGTGGACCTTTTGTAAAGCACTGGAGTTTTGCTCTGGATAAAGTTTGCTCTCATTCATTAAACCTTACAAGTGTGTGTGAGCACTATGCTACATATTCTGTGTGTGTGTGTTAGAGAGAGTGCATTTGACATTCTTGTTCTAAGCTACTGTCAGAAGGATGAACAACATTTATGAACAACATTTATGAACAACACAGGCAGCTTGCTTCATATTGTGCGCTACTCATACTCCCCCTCTTGCTTATTCTATGCTTGTTTTTTTTTCTTCGCAATGCAGAGCTCTTTTTGACTATGACAAAACTAAAGATAGTGGCCTTCCAAGTCAAGGACTGAACTTCAAATTTGGTGATATTCTCCATGTCATTAATGCTTCTGATGATGAATGGTGGCAAGCGCGGCAGGTAACTCCAGATGGAGAAAGTGATGAAATTGGAGTTATCCCAAGCAAACGCAGGTATGTCATACTTTATTGACTTTGACATGTCTGCTATAAAACGTCTGATATGATTAGCGCATATACTATGTTCTTTGCTGTGAATTCTCTATCACATCAGCCACTTGTTTGATTTTTTTCTATTTTTTTTTGAAGTCATCTTTGGTGGGATTCTGACTAACTCAATGAGAAGTTTGTTAGAAACCTATTTAGTCTTAGGAGGTGAATGCTGATGTTGATACATTTCTCTCTTACCACTGTAAGCAAGTTATCAATTTAATGACATTATGTGTGGGTTTAATAGCATTACACCATTTATGTATGAACAGGTGCAAAGTGAATTTTGTTCAAATCACAACACTACCATGGATTCTCTCTACCCAAATCCTGGAAAACTATCAAATCTTTCTTTGGTGGCCAGAGTAAACACAGACAAAGTGATGGGTTGTTGGCATACTAGAGACCTAAATAACAGATTAGTTGCTCTGAATCTCAGTATCTGCTGTTGCCTCATAATTGAGGCCGTTCCCTTACTATGTCGTGTTTTCTTATTGCGCCCTCCGGATTTATTGAACCTATCTCATCACAAAATACTCCAATATCCTCACAGATCCTCACTTGCTTTTTAAATACAGTTTGCTATTAGCAGGCTTCCATGTTCTGAAGGTGTCATCAACAATAAAAATCTATTACTACAAAAGGTACACCCTTATGCTTATGTTGTAACAAAGTAACCTGAAGGTCTATAATTTTGCTAATTTACCTTTTTTGTGTATGCTTTTGTGGTAGAGTTGAGAAAAAAGAACGAGCCCGTTTGAAGACGGTGAAATTCAATTCCAAAACAAGAGGAGATAAAGGGGTGAGTTAATGAAGTGCTGATTACACCTGACATTATGAATGGTAACATTTTTCAGTGGTTTACATATGCAGATTCAGCTTCAGATTTTGGTGAAAAGATTAAATACTGTCAAATAGAAATAAAATAATTCCGAGCACACAAGCAAACTTGAATTGCCAGAACATGGCAAATTATTTCAAGAATTAGCTTAGAAATATATGTTATTGTTAATACTATAATGTAATAGGAGTTGTAGATGCTGATCAAATATTGAACAGTGCCAGTTCTAACAGCTCTGCAAGTGCTATTTATGAAGCAGTGTAGTCCTTCAGTATGAATTGTACTCCTGGACACCTTTCGTGTGTGTGTGTGGATTACTAACAATTTTCAGAAAAAGTAAAATTTTCCTCTGTTTAAGGTTCTTTTTAATGCATCTAGAAGACAAGGAAGTAAAGCTCTACAAAGTGCCTGTGATGAAATGAAGTTTTAGAATGCACAGTTACATTCTAAACTGGTTTTTAGTAGTTGTTTAGTTACGTAGCATAAAGTAGTTTATAGTTACGACTATGGATAAAGAAGCTTTGAAGACTTTCAGACAAGGCCACAGGCCAACAAAAACTCAAGGCCAGTGCTGATGAGAATCAGTCTCCAGCTCACAGCTGATTTTTCTCACTGTTGCTGTCTGTTGGCTCAAATACTGATGTGGCTGTGCTCAAATCATATAAAATAGCTAATATAGCTGAAAAGTAACTCAAGCCAAAAGAAATACTGGATTCAATTTTAATTAGTCCCTTGGTGCAATTAACTGCATGATATGCAATCTCCATCCCTGTACACATGATGCAAACGTGTGGTGGGAAAGCAGTGTAGCAGCCTGAGTAGTGACAGGAATGTTTGTAGCCAAAATTATAGAAATTTCTTCATGATAGTGGCCAAACCTTTTATTCTGAGAGTGAGGCTTTTTTTGCAATGTTTTGGTTGTTTTGAAATTGAGAAACAATTTCACAACCTTACAGTTTCTAGCAGTAGTAATTTGAAACTTAGTTGTGTGCGCTTTAGATGCAGGAGCCTTCCAAAATAATAACATATTGTCATGTTTAAAAATCTGAAACATGCCTTAAGCTCCCAAGGAAGCTATTTCTTAAATAGTGATTATTTTCTAGTGCTGTAGCATTAGTCATTATTGTAAATCCCAAAGATTTATTTAGTAATTTATTTCATATATAAAAAATATTAGATCTTCAACACTTGGCAGTATAGCAGTTTATACTTTTTAAAACTGTTAAATCCATATGTTCATCCGTCTGCTACATGGCAAAGCTTTCAGTTTAGTTTATCAGTGAAGAAAATGTCATGTTATTTTTTTTCTATAAATATTTGTTTAAAAGGGAATCAATATCTCATATTTTCTGATGAACAGTTACGGTGTCCTCAAGGATTCAGTGGATTATTTGCAGTTTTTTCTGTTTGGGTGCATTCGTATTTAAGTATTGGAATGAAACGTTATCAACTGCTGTGGTAATTTTTAATCTGATAATTTTTGTAATTTAAGTTCACTTTTTAGAAGTCACCTAAAGACAATGGCTTAAATACTTAAGATTATTTCAATTACATAAATTTTTCAAATGTTCTTTGAAAGATAATTGCATGGTTTTGTAGTTTGTCTACCAGTAAACTGCAAACAATTAATGATATATTTGAAGTGTCATTTTGACAAGAGCAGAGTTGGTGCGCGGTCACTGTGCACTAGCACAGCACCAAAGATTTGCACGGAATACTGAGTGGAAAAGCAACTACGCTTGCCATTGATACAGAACTGCAGTTCTTTCTCTTTAGTAACATTTCATTTTGCAAACACACTTATGCTGTTCACAATATTTTGCTTCAGCTGTAAATGTTTTAACAGTACAGTTTCTCCTTAAAGTATTCTTCCTGTATTTGTCATAGTGGTATTTTTCACAGTAAGTTGTCTGCACCCTGTGTGTTCTCATGGACCATGTGCCTTCCTGTGTCTGTATGTGATAAATCTCCACGGGCAGGATAAAATACCAACGTTGTTCAATTCTTCAAAATTTCTACATTAAAATCTTAAAAAAAATAACCCTAGCAATGTCAAACATCAAAATCCATGTTCCTTTCATTTTAAGGAAAGCTAAAAAATCTGGAGCAGAAATGGTTATTTTTTTCTCGTTTATTCCTTTCATGTACACATTTATCTCACTTTCTGTGCTGCTTCTGTTTTAATATATTCTTGCTTACAATGCCTGTTTGATTTGCAGTGGGCTTATGAAAAATTTAATACAATTACTGTGCATTTGCAACTAATAAGCAATTCTCTCTAGCTTTTTATAATCATGGTATCTTTTAAAAATAATCTTTTGGCTAATCTTTTATGCAAAATCAGTATCATATTACTTTTATTTTCTCCTTATTTTTGGCAATGGAACTGACTCTGACCGTTATACATGCAGTATAAAAAAATTAATATTAGTTCAGTAAGATTTACTGTACAGAAAGTTCAGATAATTATTGTTATGAAATATTTTCAAAATTAAGATGAAGAACCCAATTACATTTTATGAAGTACAGTAAATCAGCCACTACTTTTACTTTAACTATACAAATTGCAGAGTCTCTCCACCGCAGTTAAATTGCACCATTTTAGCTTGTTGCATATAGTTCCCCTGTTCTTTTGCCCTTTCTGGTTATGAGAAATCAATTGCAGTCACTTGTTGACTTCAGATAAAGTCAGGAAGAGCTATAACCTACAACCTTCAGCATGCCAGCTATGGTCCCTGCAAGCCTATGATTGGCTCGAAAGCAGCTCTTTTGTCCATATGTCAGGTTGATCATTTACCAGTTCTCACAGTGGAGTGACAGATTTAGTTGATCAGAGATGCCAGCCAATTAAAGTTTTAGGGATTTCGTAGTTAACACAGTATTGCTATTTCCAGAGCTCAGTGTCAATGACTGTGTTCCCTTGGTACCATGTGCCTTTTTAATACCGGGTAATTTTAAGTGATTTTTTTTTTTAAACTAGAATAGTGAAAATATGAGAGGATGTTTCAGTAGCAGATATTACCAAGCAAGTTTGTATTAAAACAGATGGCCAGAAGAACTGTTAATACTGTAGCAGGATGCAGCTTTTGTGTTGCACTGTAGGTGTTCTCTTAGGAAGACCAAAGTCTAAATTTGTAATTGTACTAAAGAAGGTGGCCCACCATTTGGAAAACACTTTATCCTGGTTGACCCCTAGGTATTACTATACTTCATTCTATACTCGATGCTGGTAGAAAAGCTAATATAACTTTTTGCAACTATATTGCATATAATAGCGGAAGATGAGCTCACACTGGCCAGAGAGAGACAATTACTTGAAAGTTAACACACTCCAAATTTTAGAAATAGCTGTTAATAGAGTCTTTAATGTATGAATTGAAAATGATTTTGGTTTATTTTTTTTAAAGGTAGTTTTTAAAATGTGGTTCTGTGGAAGTTTTATTACTCCCTGCTGTACATGGGCTTCCTTGGCTTGGAAATAGAGTCTCCCTGCAGCACAGGGTCTCAAAACCCTGTTGGGCGTTTTCTCACTCTTGCCATCCAAACAAAATGACAAAAACATGGGAAATTTCTTGTCTTAGTAAAACTTGTCAGATAATTCACTTAGGCATAAACAAGAAAAGAAAATTCAGCTGGCTTTAAGTGAGCTGTATTCGAATTCTGGGCATGATTGCAATAAAAATGTTACTGTTTTATTTACACATGGAGTTTTTATTGACTTGGAATACTAAATTAAAGGTGCTGTAGTCACCTGATGTCTTCAGCAGAAAACATGGCAGATACTACGACATTCTGTTTTAATTATACCTGTAAAAGTACCTATATGTGAATGAAAACACATTGATGCTCTCCGTTTAGAAAGAGAGCACAATAAGAGTTTATAATCCAGTGGGTGGATATGTATAGGTCTGTGCAGGTAACTCGAGCAACTGAGAGGTAGAAATTCTTCAGCAACACAGGCAGTTAATGTCAAAAGTTGCTGAACATGATCCTTAGACATACAGAGTTTTTCACATGATAATTCTATATAAATTCACCCTTTAAAAATAATTTTCGTAGTAAACAAGTGAAAGTATCTTCTGAAGGTTAATCTTGATACTGGCATGCAGGCTTATGTAGAGCAGTCATTTCTTCCAGTGAACTAGCAATGAATTGCAGTTGTGAAAGATTGAAACAAATACTGGTTTTGGGGATGTTTCTTTGGTTGATTGGTTTATTTATTTATTTATTTATTGTTTGGGGTATTTTAGCTAGACACTTTATTTTCCTTTTTTATTGTTACTTTGCATTCTCGTAAGAGCATTCAGTGCAATTCCACCTTTTAACTTCCATTTTCCTTAACTGTATTGTATGTTATTTAGTAGCTGTCACCAAAGTATTTAGTTTTGCCTTTGCAAATGGGTAACACTGGCAAATGCTTCTGTTATGATGTTGGCTGTTTGCAAAAGCATGTGTAAAGCCTCAGCATTTTTTAAAATTCTGCAACCCCTGTGATTTAATTGACTTTGAGTTCATAATGGTTTGGCCATCTTATAGCAGCTTAGTTTTTCACATCTTCTTACATTCCCAGCAAGCCTAAATTTGTGAAATACAGGTCAGGCCAGATAGGAAGAACGAGCCTGCCTGTTCTCGCAGTAGCAAGGGTGTGAAATACAGAAGATATGAACATAGCCTTGATCCTGATCTCTCTTTTTATGAGCTGAGAAGGTAGTGTTAAACTGAAATATGCACTGCATAATGTGGTTGTAGGAGTCAGCTTCCATAAAGCTGCTGCTCTGGGCCTTTGTTCACACAGACATTAGACATCCTTTGTTTTGCCCCTCCTTCTCTTCTTCAGCAGTCATTCAATGACAAGCGTAAAAAGAACCTCTTTTCCCGAAAATTTCCCTTCTACAAGAACAAGGACCAGAGTGAGCAGGAAACCAGTGATATTGACCGTAAGTATGTGGCATCCCACGGAGAGCACAGCACACATAGAAGGGCCTGCTAGCTGGCAGTAGGGTGTTACCATGGAGACAGTTTCATGAGCTGCAACAGGCTAACGAGCATGAGGCACCGATGACAATCCAATCTACGAAATCAATAAAACCGTTTGTTTGCTGTCAAAGTAAAATTTAACTCAAGAGTATCCCAGTTTGGCATAAGCTGGGTAATGCTGTTGAGTAACAGCGCGTACATAGCTGGAGAAGGGAAGAGCCGCCCAGCAGTCAGCGATGGGTCCTTCTTTCTGGCTTGGAGGAGAGAGCACAGCAGTGAAAAACAGCTTCTCAAATCAGTCCCTTTAGACTGTTTTTATCAAAGTCATTCTTTCTAATTCAATTTTCCTAACAAAGAGAGGTTATTTTGATTTTTGTCGTTACGGCCAGCATGAAGAAACGTGTCCTCTCAAAAAGCAGTTGCTTACGTTTGCTGTTTCAGACCAGGTCTGCTGTAACCTGTGTTCTCGGCCAGTCGCATCGCTGACTACACTTCATGTGCCAGACAGGTCAAATCCTAGAGACTTATCTTCCCCTGTGATGTTCTGGGAACTGTCTCCTGTCGTAGCGCCAATTTTATATATTACTGACAATTATTTTCTTTGTGATTGTCTTTTTATTGCTTGCCCTCTGGGGACTACTCTGCAGGAGGTCCCTGACGACATGGGATCAAAAGGCCTGAGTAAGTGATCAAAATACTCCCAAGTTATTTTAACCTCCATCTGAAAAATTACTACTTTTTTTTTTAGCAGATCTCTTTGAGACTGGTGCTCTACTGGCATAAGGAGGTTGACTCTGAAAATGTTTCCTAAGTTTTTTCTAGTTTGTAATGTTCTGGGATTTTTGTTTTCAGGAGCGTGTTACTTTAAGTTCACGTGACTGTCACGTTAGGTTTTTTCAGTTGTTCAGAACCTTACCAGTGCTTACTTGTTTGTCCTCAATAGTATTGTGTTTTTAAATTTGTTAATTTTTTTTTTCTTTTTTATTTCACTTTTAGCTTGTCTTTGTGGTTTTATTTATTTTAAAATAACCTGTGGCTTTTTACAGTAATAGTACAACCATTGCCATAATACTTTAACTAGCTACAGTTTTCAATCCTCTCTCTAGGTGACTGCCTTTACAACTATTTAAAACAAACAAAAAGACTGCTTAACAAACACTTTGAGAGTTTTTTCTGATTTATTTGAAGTCTTATGATACTTTTAGATCAGATAGAGGAGGTATAGATAGAGGGGAAACATTAAGTATTTGTTGTATTTCTTGCTGAAATGTTCCCTACCTGAATACAGTCAGATCCAAAGTTGCTGAGTACTCTTAATAGATCTGCTTGTGTACACAAACACCAGCACTGTATGACAAATTTAAAAAGTCAACACCTTGCTGTCATCACACATATTGAACACATATATTATGCATTTACGGAATAGCAAAATTAGTCACTAAAGATGTGTGACTAAAGGTCATTAAAAATAACATTTCTTTCAAGGGTGTTGCTGTTATGCACAGTGTTCCTGAAATTGCATGTAGGCAGTGATGAACTTCTATACTTGGCCTCAGTCCTGAAATAAAAACTCTAGCAGCTATAACATTAATTTTTCCGTTTTTGAAATTGGTAGTTTCAAGGAAATTCTTGGTCTAGAGCAGGAGACCTTACGACCTTATTATGGTTTACAGTAGATGACCATAAGCAGCCTTTATGGCTTTACTGTACCTGGTTTAAACCAGTGTAGGATGGTCCAGAAACATCAGTAGGTGTTTCTGGTATAAAAGCCAATGACTTCTAGCCTGTTTTTTCAGCACAGACTTCTTGAAGCTGCCTTAGCACACCTGACACAAGCTGTGGTACTTGGGGTCTGCAAGACAGCATCCTCTCCTTGCTCACATTTTACGTTTTCACCAGTTGTGACCGTTCATTACCCAGATTATCACAAGACTTGTATCCTCAGTTGACAACATCTCCCTTTCATGGTCTGCCATGAGGCTTTTAAACATCATTAACGTGTCTCTTCCATGCTAATATGGACTTTCTTTTTCCAAACCAAGAAAATTAAATGGAACCAAATTGCTGGTACTTGCAAGCATTAGGAAGTATTTGTCTGGTTTTCCTGCACAGAAATGAAATGAGGGAGTTCTGTCTAGCCAGCAATTTGTGGTTTAAAGATATTGGTTCACTTTATCCAAAAACATTTTAAAAGGTTAATTAGTTTACATATGATGACTAACTTTTTAAATACTTATTAATCACTAGAAGCATATTTGCTTCAGAACTGTATTATTGTCTCTAGAATTCCCTTGCTTCCTTCTCTTCAGTATTGTAAGGGAGGAACCACATTGAATTTAATACATTATAAAGGCTCCTCATGCCAACAATATGTATTGTTGTGTGGACACAGTTAGGTACGTAATTTCAAATGAATTTGTGCATGTCAAACATAAGACTCTTTTTGCTGTTGTAACCTGTGAATGTTAATGTTTTTCATTACAAGTAGGCACACTCATTGATTGTGGATTCTTTACAATAAATAAATGGATTCTTTACAAGAAATTAATCAATATCAAAGTTCATATTTGTTCACCAGATTTGTAGAATTTTCAGGTAACAGAGTAGATTAATACCCAGAATTCTTCAGTTGCATTATTTTTATTAAAAAAAAATTAACACAGTTACATAGCTTGAATAAGTAAATACAAACACCTTGTAGCTACTGAAGTATTTTGATTACTAAGCAAAAGGCCTGAAATGAATAAAGATAGTCCAGAATAAAAATCAGGAGCTTTTGAAAACTGGGGGAAATGTGGAAAAAATCAATTCTGCATCACACTTCAAGTAAATGATTTAATATACCATGGGAAAGTGTCTATTATTAACTTGTTCTTCTGTATTTTCTGCAATATAGTCCAGTATTTTATGCTACAAGGCTCCTAATATAATCAATAAATGGCCTGCATAGAAGTTGAAATGCATAATCCCATAGTTTTTGCACAACAAAAAAAATCTTAAAGTGAAGACCTAAAAATTGCAGGATTGCCTGTTGGACTGTGAATTGGTGTACTTTTTGTAATCTTATTTTGATGTGCTGTTTAATATTTTCTTTTTATTAACATCAGTTCCTTTCATATGAAATTAAGCTTGATCCTGAGAGCTATGAGAAGTACCTTAAAAGTTTTATATGCAGTATGTATTGATTTCAGCATTTTAATATCAGTATTGTCTTTCATCTGGATTACTTTTGTCAGTTTGCTTTCTTTTATACTCATGCCATTAGTGTATGTTCCTTATTTTTTTTTCCCGTTGTGTTGCAATTTCAGAGCATGTAACCTCTAATGCCAGCGATAGTGAAAGTAGTTACCGTAAGTGTTTTTAAGTTCCTTGTTTATTTAGAAACTTTTAGTAGCGTTTTGTTTTGTTTGTCTGTCGTTTTGGGGTATTTACATGTTAAATAGAACTGCCCAGTCACCTTCAGGTGAAAACTATATTCATGTGTTTGGTGAGTACTGCAAATTGTGCTGTGTCTTTTTTTTTTTTTTTTTAAAAACTGACTAGAGAGAATCATTGCAGACCTCCTTTATGGATATTTTTGTTGTGATCTATGATTTTCTTAGTTCAGCTTAATTTGAACCTATTCCTGTTTTCTTTTTAAATTATGAGAGCTAGCTGGACCTATTAAAACCTAAATGTAAATTTAATGCTGACAAATATAATTATGTGTTGTTGAGCTTAATACTGGAAGCATAGCTAAACTGTGTAATCTGTTAAATAGTGCAGTAACTATCTACAATTTCTCACAACTGATATTCAGATTTAATATGTATATACTTCTAACGAAAGTAAAGATAAGCAAACATGTATTTACCCTCGCTTTCAGCTTTCGCTTACCTATTTTGTCAAATGTGGGTGCTTAGTATGAATTGACTTCAAAATATGCAACACATTCAGTGCTTGAGTCAGTTATAAATTAGCACACTGGGCACACATGCACACTCTCTCTCTGAAGACATACTATCTTTTAACTACTAGACTTAGTGCAAACTACTGTACTATTTACTATTTCCCAAACTGCAGTAGTGCTACATGTTCACAGTGCTTTCAAATACGATGCTTTCAAATGTCTTTAAACCAGAGCCAGAACTTGAATCCCACTGGTCATTTTGAGTGAACAACTCTTCACTAAGGTGCATGGTCCAGACCGAGAACCTGGGATAGAATAGAGCAGGAGGATGAAAAAATTGAGAATTTGAAGAGGACAATGGAAAGGAGAGACAGTGAAAGTCACTCAGGGGGGCACTCATTTGCTCGCTGATCACCTCCTGGTTGCCTTCCAACTGTAGGTAATGCGCACTTCAGAAACAGATATAATTTGTGTTAGGATAATGAGGAAGATGTATTTGTCTGGAAGCTGTAGATCTTCTCAGAGGTGGTGATCCACATTTTTTCCTTCCATATTACTACACCCAAGGAGAAAATTTATACATGTGTATAAAATGCAAACAATGTCATAGACTAATTGCAAAGAAACAAATTGGGGAGGCATTTGTGTTCCCTAAGAATAACAGAACTGAGCATGTATGAAAGTTGCCTTTGATAAACTTAAAAATTTGGACTATTTTTAACGACACACTGCATATCCATGACTGTTTCTTCATAAATCTGCTGCTTTCTTCTCTCCCCGCTCTCTCTTGAGAAAACTTGCTTTCCTTATGTTTAAAGCTCTTTATTGGTACTAGTTAGTTTTTTTACTCCGTTGTTCCTTGAGAAGTCCTGATTTTATTATGAATGGATTTGCTTATCTGAATGTGTAATTCCAAGCACTTTTTATTAAAATAAATGTTTTAATTTCTTCTTACTGCTGTCTAATACGAAAGTTATCTTGATTACAGATGAGTACGGTTGTTCAAAAGGTTCATTCTGTTAATATTCATTTTTCCAAAATACTGAAAAGCAGTGACAATATATACTTTTTTACCCTCAATCAGAGGATGCTTTTTGTTATCTAATTTTTGACCTTATAGCAATATGACTTCTCCAAATAAGTATCTATTATATGTGAGCTGGATCTTTCATAGATCAGTTGATAGTTGGTGATTCCGTATTCCTTTCTAGCTTATAAGGGGTTCTGAAAGTATATACTGTCATTCTGAAATCCATTTGCATGAGTAACTTTTTGATATATTAAAATATACAGGTTGCATGTTCTCGTGTCTGTCTTAAGGTATTCCTCACTTGCGATAACTTAAAAAATTAATATGTTTATTCATGTATTGCTGTACTACAGCTTGATTGCAAATTTATTGCAAATAAGAGAAGTTTCTCTCAATTAATTTGTAAATTTTATATTTAAAAGATCAATGATATTTGCTATGAAATAAAGAATAGACATACAGAAGTGATATATGAATTTATAAAAGCCTTCATCTGCCACCTGTTTCTGTACAACTGTGGTATAGCTTTGGTATGTTCCTTTGCCAGTTATAAGGCTGGCTTGTGAACTCCAAAGAAGGTTCCACAGTTAGTGACTTGTGTTCCAAAACAAGTGAGTTATTTTATTTGAAGTTCATGGTAATGTCATATAATTTGAGCTTATATATTCAGAATTGTAAATTCCCTGCTGTCAAGGAGTTAATTTTTAGTGATTTCATTGCAAGAAGTCTTACTTGGAGATACCATGTTAGACTGGAAATAATCTTTTAGAGAGATGGCAACTGAGGTATATTTCAGATGCTTTCGCTACCGTTTAAAAAGCCTGCAGCTGTCAAAGGTCAAAATCGAGTTACTGTCGTTTCATTCACTGCTGATGTGCTTTCTGGAGCTTGCGAACAATACAAAGGATTCTGTTTTTTTGACTTTGTCTTCAAAAATCCATCAACAAAAGAATGGTTATTTAGTATACAAAGTCATAACTTTTTTTTATAGAATTGGAATTGTTGAAGTTGGTTACATAAATGCCACTTCATGATAAAGTTAGTGGAAGATACGTACGTCTTGACATATGTAGATGTCAGCAGTGTTTAAACATTGAAAAATGTTACTGTAAATGCTGGCTTTGAAGTACGGAGAATGTGATGAAGGTGGTAGTGCTTCTGGCAGTGAATGATGACATGCTTGCATTTCAGTCAGGGAAACGTGGGTAAGAGCATCTCAAGGAATGCTTTAAAATTCTTCTTACGCCTGATGTCAGTTTGACGTGCTGACATAAACCAGGAAATTATTTATACTGTATGTGTCTCATGCTTTAAAATATTGTGTTTGGCTTATCTTTGTGATTTTTATAATTCACCGCTCTTGAAAAATGTCCTTCGTCAGTATCATTGTAATGCGTATTACTGAGGAATGTATTCTTATAGTTTACTGAATGACTCAATTTAAATATTTAGAAAAAATACATAGATACATCTCTGCATTTACATTTTAGGTGGCCAAGAGGAATATGTCTTGTCATATGAACCAGTCAATCAACAAGAAGGTTGGTAAATCTCACTCCTTTTAAACTAAATATCTGAATTACCAGAATGCTTCATATGTCCTTGTGTACTGAGCACTCTGATAAACTTATTTACTGTTTTGAACTTGTTACCATTATTCAAATGAATAAAACGTAAAGGCATAAATTATTAAATAGAATTGCTAAATTATGTAGTGCAAAACCCAAAGGTATGCTACTTAAAATAACTTCCTATGTGTGGTTTACATTGCATAAGGAAAATCTGATATGTTTTAACAGCTTTGTCAGTGTGAACTTGAGAAATTATATTTTTTCTGTTTCTTTAGCATTCTCACTGTTGCAGTTCCTTTCTTCTGTCACAGCAAAAAATGTGTCAATAGATCATTTGTCTACTTCAGTAAGCTTTAATTGAAATATCTCTAAATTATGGCAGTCTCCAGTTTCTGTATGGGCTTCTTATATGGCTTATTTGGTTAGCAATTGCTAAGTGATCTTTTTTCTAAGTAAAAAAAAATGGAACGAGATAGAAATTGACGGAACAGAATATTTTTTCACACTTGTATTTAAGATAAAATGCTTTTTGCTGATTTGCAGTGGGATGCTGGAAATTCCTTTTCACCTTGAGTCCCAATCTTGCTTTACTGCGTGTAATAGATATAGAATTTTCACTTTTTCCATTCACCACCACAGGTGCTAATGGTTTGTTTACAGCAGCTGATACATAGCTTATATATTTGTAAGTAAATATGTAAAAGGGATGTCCTTTGGAAGTAGTTAGTGTCTATTACTTGTAAAATAAGGTGGCAAAATAAAATACACATCATGTATTTACATGAATTTTGAGTGTCAAGATTTCATTTTTGGTTTCACACAGTGAGTGGCAGAGCCCAGTTGCTTTTAATGGCATGTGGAACACACGTGCCTGAAGAGGCTTTCCCCTCGCTCGCTCATCATGGCATATGGGCTCTTTTTCATCAGTGACCTTTCAAAAGTAGTAAATGTTATACGTGACTAACACAAGCTACTTTTTTTAGAGCACAGAATTTGTAACTTAGGTGTGTTCCGAATAAAATCATGGATGAGCAGTCCATGAGTTCAGACCACGCTAGAAATGGGGAAATGGTAGGTCCTCTTCGATGTGCTGAGCCAGCCGTGCTTACGCAAGGGAACAGGAGGGTTGTTACCCCCAAATGAGCAGATGCAGGGTCTGGATGTGTGTGTGTGTGTGTATGTATGTGTGTATGCACACGAGAGGGCCTCACAAAATGAGAAACTTCTTTTTAGCTGGCAGGTCCCCATGTGTTGCCTGATCTAGTCGAGAGGTGGCGTCCCTGGCGGCAGGGAGGCTGGATTCAAATGATCTCTAAGGTCCCTTCCAGCTTAGGCCATTCTATGAGCTATGATTAACTTCCCTAGATTCTGATAGCTTAGTTGTTTAGTGGGAACAATGGCGATACCAAGTAAATTAATGTTAAGGTCGAAGAGAAAAAGATGTGAATGAGTCTTTGCACAAGCTAATGGTTTCGTGACTGTCATAATATAAAACTAAAGATTTTAGAGAGCCAGGAGCTTTCGCCTTTATATCCATGGTTGTAATTCCATCTGAGTCTAACACAGCGTGTGGGGAAGACCATAAAAGAACAAGCACCTTGTTCCTTTGCTTACGAGCAGTAACACATTCCCTGCACATGTTATATGCAATTATCCACTAAGTCACTTCCACAGTAATCTTTTTTTTTTAAGAAGCCCAGAAAAATAAAGAACTATAATGACCAAAATAGATTTAAAGGTGCTTGGACTGCAGACACTAATGGAACTTGAGGGTGGTCACCCTTAGTCTTTAAGAAAATACTTTTATTATTAAATTAGTAGATCGACCATTACTGTTTCCAAGACATGACTTTTATGAATATATCAATATCCTGGAAAGGAAATTGTTCTGAGACTCTAAATTTATTTTATAGGTCAGACTTTATTTAATTTGGACTTATTTGTCGGTAAAGAGAGATTGAACCTAAACCTGAAATTTATACAGCTGAAATTGTGTGTTAATGCCAAAGATACTTAGGCATTATTGTCTTTGTGGTTCTTGCAGTATAATCAGATATTTTCTGCTTAGGCTTAATTTGTAACGAAAAGCTCTTTATAACCTTATAAAAAATTAAGCTGCCTTTAGAAGTTGCTACACTTCATTTTGTAAGGATGTTTAGTAGTTACAGAAGCTATATGTAGTTCAGTCTTTTCATATTTCAGTATTTAATTGTGGTCTTAGAGGAAAGAAGCAACTTTTGCCAACATAGAACTAGAATTTCTCTAGTCCTTTCAAACTCTGCTACTGCTTAAGTACTTCTTTGAAATGAAAAGGTTTTCAAACTTCCTCGTTTTGCTTTTTTTATTAGAATGAAGGCTGTTACTTTATGAAAAGATTTATATCTTTTTTTCCCCAAAAGAATTCATAATTTAAGACTCATCTTTGCTGACCCAGGATAATGATTTGAGAGTGAAGAACTAACATCTTACTGTGACTATGGTATTAATTAATTTGTATTCTTCAACATGTTTTACTTCTCTTTAATAGAATGTATTATTTTAGGTGTTAGAAGCATTGCCATGTGATAAAGCTTATTTTGCTGAACTGTCAAAGTTCGCAACCATACTGAAATGTGACTGATGTGTTTCCTTTAACAGTCAGTTACACTCGACCTGTGATTGTTTTGGGACCCATGAAAGACAGAATAAATGATGATCTGATCTCAGAATTTCCAGACAAATTTGGCTCATGTGTTCCACGTAAGTCTCAGCAAATACTAAAGCAATTCTAGATTATTTTCTTCTGTTAATTTTCTTAATAGATGTACTCTGTATTTTGAGTTAAAAAAAGTTGATATATTATCTAAACTTTATAGATCTATCTTATTTGTCAGTCATTCTCTGCTTGTGAAAATTTTGAAGTATAAATGGGAGGCTGGTTTTGGATATTGTAGGGAAAAAAAAAAAAATTTACTGTTTTTTTTTTTGCTTTAAAAATTACTGGTTTATATTTAAAGATACTACTAGACCAAAACGAGATTATGAGGTGGATGGACGTGATTACCATTTTGTCACTTCTCGAGAGCAAATGGAGAAGGATATTCAGGATCACAAATTCATTGAAGCTGGCCAGTACAATAATCACCTTTATGGAACAAGTGTCCAATCAGTGCGAGAAGTAGCAGAAAAGGTAAATCAGTGCCAGTTACTTTCATTTACTGAGATGATTATCTGACTGTACTGACAGGGGAAAACAGAAGAATGGCGAAAAGCTGTTAGGAACCCTCTGACTTTAAAAGGAATTTGCACAAAACTAGAAACAAAGCACATTGTCAGAAATGCATGTAGAAAAAGAAATAGTGAAGCTTTGGAATAATGAAAGCATTGGGAAAAGAGCAACTGTAGTTTGTGCTCTCTTACAAGAAGAGAAGAGAAAAGAAATAATTGGAATTACAGGCAAATTAGCCTTGCTTACATACATAGATAATTAACAAATTAAGAATAGTGGTGGTGGAGTCAGTTAGTGGGCTGACCTATTTGATACAGACCTTTCTTGTGCGGAAGAAAACTTGTAAAAATGTTATTCTTTATGACCTTTATGGATTTATCTGACACAGGGAAGAGTAATAAACTCAGTTTTAGAAACACTTTTTCCATAACTACCACTACATTTTGAAGACTGACCTTACTGTTTTTGTTCTGAACAGATTTTAGTTAACTATTTCTTACAAAATCTAAACACTTCTAAATGCAAACTGAAATTTGCTTGAGCCTTCTGAAAAAGAATGGGAAGAAAGAAGCCTATTTCTTAGAGGAAGATGCTTGTTTTAAAGAATTTCTTTAGTAAAAATTCTTTGCAAATGTGCCATGTGAAGTTGATGACTATTGCTGTACTGCTTACAAATTCGGTGCATTTAAAGTAGACAATGTTATCTGCTCTGTAAGAGAAGACACAGCTATTTTCTAGGTGGGAACTCACAAGCGTGAGCACTTTCAATCTGGATGTACAGAGGGTAAGTGTGGTGACAGGGAACTGTAGGTGGTCCTAGTAGGTAGTAGATAGTGTAGACCATTCTGGCCACATGGTTGACTGTTGTTATTTCTGGCAATTTAATTTACTGGAATCAAAACCAGGGCAAGCATGGTGAGATTCTGTGGTTCACGTGCTGAAGTTGTCTGTTCTTCTATGGAGTGGAACCTGGCCCTGTGATATATAGTGAGAAGAGTAAACAAAATTAATTACAAAATTGTTAAAGTAAACAAACGGTACTTTGTATGGGAGGCTGAATGAAGTTGTGAAACTATTATATGCAGTTAAATGATGAAACCATTGAACAGCTTAAACATTGTAAGCCTGTCAGCAGTTGCTTCACCTGGTACCTAAGATAGAATCCTGCAGTTCCATCCCAGCCTGAAATCGGTTGTGTTCTTTTGGCCATGTAAGGGGATTAGTAAGAAACAAAATGATTGTGTATCTTTTAGAAAACTGACGTGAAGAACAAAGTACTACCAGATGTCTCCATGCTATTAAATCTCCTGCACAGGCACCATGGGACTTTGGGTAGATGCAGAAGTTTCTCGGATCCAGCTAACATTATTTTTCTTGGAAACGATGGCCTGTCCTTCAGAACTTGGCTTCAGAATTGTGACAGGGCTGCAAACAGGTGGATCAGGGGCTACTCCCTCTTTGTATTGCTCTCTGTCTTGCTTAAGAGAGAGTGAGTCTTGTTACTAGGATATAAAAGATTATTTCCAAGTTCTCTATGATGAACTTAGGGGAAGACACAACAGAAGTGACTGCTACTAACCCCAAAAGTACCAGAAATAGTATTCTTGCAGTAGTTCTAAATTGTCTTACTTGGCCCATGCTTCCAGCTGATCCCTATCTCATTTCATTGCCTCTAATGGACACAGCTAAAGATGCTTTTTGATGTCATTCAATTATTGTAAAAAGCATGGAGTGCTGTTCTGTGTTTCTCAGTGAGATGAAGTGCAAGCAAGAAACTAAAAAATACCTAAAATACTGTTTATGTGCACTGTGCAAAGAGTGAAATAGCTTCCTTGGATGAAAACATAATAATTTGTATCATGAAGTACTGGCATTTCTTTTCCTTGTCTTTCCAAATCTTCACTTGAAAGGAATTTTCATATCCTCTTTCTTTGGAATAATTAGAAGCTTGCAGTCTCTGTGTTTGAGGCCAATGTTAACGCACATTCATTATTGATTTGGAATTAAATGTCACAGTTATATTCCATAAGGTCCAGTGCAGCTGCTGTGCTGGCAGTCTAGTCCCTTTTTCCAAAACCCTCTGGGACCTAGCACAAATTGTTGGGCCAAACACAGCAAATTCCAAGGGTTTTATGCCCTCTCCACTCTCCCAGAAAAAAAAATAAAATTAAAAGTAAAAGAAAAGAACCAGGTAATGCTCTTAATTCTCAGTTCCCAGAGCATGTGCCACAGTTAAAGAGAAACTGTTTGAAAGGTATGGACAGGCCAGCACGTGCAGGAAAATACTCTGCTACAAACACCTTTCTTAAATGATACAAGTCACCATCCAGATCCATGGACTGAATCTGGGAAACAGCTGTCATCAGTTGAAAGCAAGCAAAAATGTATTGTTTGTGTGGGAAGAACACTTCTGTCCTCTTTAGGGATTCCTCAAATAAAGTTCTGTGGTTTTGTTGTGCAAGAGATCAAATGTAAATGATCCGAGTGTTCTCTTCTGCCAGGAAGCAGAAGTGTGTCAGGCAGTTCAGACTGCAGTCGCTTCCTTGCTCTCAGCGTGTCCTCCAGGAATGATCTGCCAGGAGTTCTGGGTTTATGGTGCTTGTGGGTTTGTATGCCAGCTCCCATAATTCTGCTGTTCATGTTGGTCACCTGTTAAAGAAAAAGCTTTTATTATTTTAGTCACCTGACAGATTTTCTGTTCCTCTTCCCCGATCCCTTTCTAAGATGGGGTATGTCAGGTAACTCCTGTGTCACTTAGAAAGAAACAAAAATGTGTGAGGTCAAAATGAGCCTATGGGAGATGTGAGGAGCTGAGGAACAGGAAGAGCCTTTCAGATGAGATAAACCAGAGAGCTGGAAAATTGTCTATAGTGTGAGAATAGAGTAGAGGTGGGGAGAAAAGCGGCCCTACCACCTTGTGTTCCAGCTGTCCAGGGAATGGTTATTTGTTTCTAGAAACCTGAAAAAATAATCAGCCCAAATAAATTGCACTCACTGTCTCAACCTTGGTATTCCACTGTGTGGTTCCTGGTGGGAGGAGAGTGCCTCTATTCAGTTCCACCTAGCAGTTCTGCTGGTGGCATATTTCCCTGAAAAAAGTAAGTCACCTGGCTCCTCTCAGAACCGCATCTGTGACATGATCACCTCCCTAAAGGATCCTCAAGTTATTAATAAATAAATAAATAGTTTTGGTGGCATAGTTGAAGTGCAGCTGTTCCACTGGATGATTCTGCACTCTTGGTTGGGCTGCAGTCTGATGGAGAAAGGAAGGAAGAAGGGTTGGGAGTATCGGAAGTGGTGTATGGTCCCAGCAGAGGAGCATTGTGGGCCCTTGGGCCAAAAGGGTGAAAAATCACAATATCATCGATGCAATTTTGTTGGCTTCAGCGCAGACATGTTTTCTCTTCTAAATGATTACACTATGCATACCTGTGACTTTACTTAATGCCATTTTTCCTTCTTTCTCATTTCTTAGGGCAAACATTGCATTCTTGATGTTTCTGGTAATGCGATCAAAAGGTTGCAGATTGCTCAGCTGTACCCAATCTCCATTTTTATTAAACCCAAAACAGTGGAAAATATCATGTGAGTAAGAGTAAAGTACCTCAGGCTAAATTCTGTGAGATTGTCACTGTATTTGAAAAGCCAGCTGCAAGTTATGTGAAGACAATCATTGTATTTACATTTTAAACAATATTTAATTTCCAGAGTTTAATTTCTAGGGACTTTTATGTGAGGTCTCTAATCCAAATGAAAGTGCTTGAGAACACTGCACTAAATTCCAAGTAATGCAGTGTCACAACAGCTCGTTCCCACTACAGGCTTTGCTTGAGCGTGTGATTTAGGAGGCTTCCTCTTACTAGGCTTAATAGTCGGACAAGAGTTTAAAATCTTACTCTAAAAGACTCCAAGTATTTGATAGTACTTTTTAAATGTACTTTGTTTTCAATTTCAGGGAAATGAATAAACGCTTAACAGAAGAGCAAGCCAGGAAGACATTTGAGAGAGCCATGAAACTGGAGCAAGAATTTACTGAACACTTCACAGGTGTGTTTTGCTTGAGACTCTTCCCTTGCTAAAATTTGAATTTTATTGCTTGCTCTAAAATAGTAATTGTCTCACCACTGAGATAAGGCTGCCAGTTGTTTTCAGGCTGATCTGCAATTGTTGTGAGGATAGAGCCATCTTAGTACCTCTACACTAACTGCAATTTGATCAATTAGTTCAATAGATACAACAGATTTGCTGGGAGCTTATTTTAGTTTTAAAAACCGAGAGATTTTTACCATTTTCCTTAGTGTTGTAATGCAAATGTTTGCTTCGTTCATATGCTATGCACTTAAAGCTTTTATTTGCAGAGCTGAAATTGCCCAGCAAAACTCCATGTAGAAAGTGATTAATTTCCATGTTTTTAAAATTAAGAAGTAAAGACTGGTGATAGTTAATTTAAGCCTCTGGAAATTGGGCACTACAGCATTAGGGTATTTAGCAAATCAAATTTGTGTATGCCATGGATGAGCATGTGCATGATGAGTGACTTAAGTCCATCCGTTTTTGCTGCCTCCCTCCCTCTCTGCTGCCTCGCGGCCATCAGTTTATCCCAATACTGCATCTCCCTCTCCCGTAGCTCTATCGGTCTGTTCCCAGAAGGTTATGGGGCTCTCCTCATACATTGCAAATTCATCCTGCTGTAGAGACCCTTACCAAAAGACTTGCGAATCTGTCAGATTTGTTGCTCAGGAAACGAATGAGTTTATTTTAATATGTATTAATTAAATATTAGTAGCTGATATTCTCCCAGGCTGTCTTAGGGCATTATACAGGACACTTTTCCAGGAAATAAATAATTAAAAATGTTTCAAAAACCTGTGAGCCTTTTTAAGCGCTGTAGTGCTCAGGGCCATGTTTCTTCTCAGAAGTATAAGACTTGTTGACAAAGGAAGATACCAATGCTCAGACTTCTGTCCTTGATAAAGCAGCTTCTGAATCTCTTTGAGATTCACAAAGATGTTACAAATTCCACTTATTTCTTAGAATTTGGAGACTGCTACCAATCAGGTGGTAGAACAGAATGTGTGAGCATTCCCTAATCCGTTAAAAAATACCACACGATGTGGGTAACTGAAGTCAACTTCAGCTGCAGGTTAAGTTTAAGACTTAAACTTTTCACCGAAGCAAATGAAGAGAGCATCCATCTTCTGTTTTGAGGGCATTGAGCTTTGGAAGAGGTGTGGTTAAACACAGCTGGAGAGAAGTAAGATGCTGAAGCTTGTGGCTATTTGCGTTGCAGAGACATTTCTAAGTCTTTCTAATGCGCTGCTGTGCTGTAAACATTATGCTTGAGCTATAATAATGGAACAGCTTCTTCCCAGAGGCACCGTGACAGTGGGCAAGGAAATTATTTGCATGAAAGCAAAGCTCAGAAGTAGCAGTAATGTATTCATGCACAAAAGAGTGACTCTGGCCTGCCTCCGGAATATCTTTTGTGCTAAACTTTGTTTCTTAGCTTATCAACACTGAGGTGGTGATCTTAATTAAAAAGAAGTTGCTGTCTTATGGTGATTACTTTATCAGACTGAAGTGTGGCAAGAACAGCTCAAACTTCATCCTCATTTTCACCAGACTGCTTTACTCTGCTATGTCGGAACACATCCCTGTTGGCTCATTTCTAATTATTTTCTTGCCTTGGAGAATATGAATGTAAATTGCACCTTTATATAAGAAAGGCTGTTGCCTGTAAAACTTTAATCTATTGACTGTGCAACAAACTCCAAGAGTTCCTCCTCTTTTTGGCCAAACGCAAAGGCAGTGCTAGCAGGTAGGAAACCCAAGGTTGGGCAGCCTTGCTATGGAGTTTCAGGAGCCAGCTGAGGAGTTCACCAAGCCTAACTTTGACTGCATGAGGACACAGCCCTGTACTCTGTCTTGCCTTATGTTGGAAACACCCATGAGAACTGGACCAAAAAGAACATCCTCTAGGATGTGATTTGACTCAGGCAAACTCAAACGTGTGGATATGAAAAGCAAGGAGACCTCCTCAGTTTTATGTGTATACTTGTAGTAAAGTGAAAACCACTTCCTGAGTCTCAGAGTGGGAGAAATGATGCGTTGTGTGTCCTGCAGGACCATCAATGGGCTTCACTCCAGCACAGAAACCACAAATCTTGGTGGGCGTCCATTCCTTCAGCAATCTAAAATCCTCTTGCCACTCTGAGAGAAAAGAATAGCTTGGCTTGGAATGTGTTGATTTCTGTACGGAGCGAGGAAGGATGATTGCTGATTGCCACATTCTCTTTTGCAGCTATTGTCCAAGGAGACACACTGGAAGAAATCTACAACCAAGTGAAACAGATCATAGAGGAACAGTCCGGGCCTTACATCTGGGTTCCAGCAAAGGAAAAATTATGAAAACAAATTTTTATGTTTCTTTTTCTAACTGACATCACATACTACATCTGACGACTCTTAAGCCCTTCCAGTGGAGCCTGCCTCTCTAGTTCTTTCCAGCGTGGTTCATACCCTAACCATCACATTCTGCAGTTCCCATAATGCTTTACATTTGGTGTCTCTTAGTTTAAACAATTTGTATTATTGTGTGTTGTTGGTTTGCCATTTTTCGATCATGATAGTGGAATGGCCTGACCAGCTATTAGTTTGGGATGGGGGTGGGAGGGAATTGCTTGGTAAAATTCCTTAATGTTTAAGGGAAAGTAACTTTCAGAGATTTTTTCAAAAAAGCTTTATAGACATTCTTTTAAAATTTCATAACAATTGAAAGAAAAGTTGTATTCAAGGAAGCTGTAAATCAAGAGTAACTTTGCACGCTTAACTTTAATAGCATGGTTTGGTCAGGGCAATCAATTTCAAGTTTCATTTTTTCAGTTAAATTCTATTCTCACGGTATTTTTTTTCCAGGCAGTTAGAGAGAAACTTTCAAATTTTGAGTTAACATTTTCATGAACTCCCATTACTACTCCTCAAGGGATATTCATTTTCATAATTTCATATGGATATTCTTATAATATATTTTTTCATTTTTTGCCAATAAAAATTGCTAGGGACAAAGACATGTAATGTTTTTAATCTTCCTCGTGAAACACTATTTATAGTGTTACAGAAATTGTTTATAGATAATGGTCATCACACTTTTTGAGCCTAAAATATGTTTAGGTGCTAGGAAACCTTGTATTTTTCAGAGGAATGCCAAATTTCCTTTGGCAATAATACAGAAAACAGCTGCAGAGATGGTCATTAGGGCAATGAGAGAATGATTCGTAGCCTAAAAATGTGTGTGTTCTTAGGGGTCAGATTTTAATGAATATTTTACCCACAATAACTGCCTATTTTGTTATAATAAATATATATATATTAAACTTTCTTTAACTAAACTCTGTAACTATGGGAATTATTTTCTTTACATAGTTGCGCACACGTATAAATATATATATATATAAAATATATATTTTTCTTTTACCACCTACTCCTAGCTTTTTGTTTTGAATAAAAATACAAATTAGAATTTACCTTCCTTAATCATGAGAAATCAAATGGGCTATGGTGGCTGGGCATAAAGTCCAGGGAATATTAGTTACAAGAAAAAAATTCATGCAAGTTCTCCTCTTTTCTATGGAATTTCAGGTGTTTGTCTTCCCCCTCTGCTTTGTGATTTGCATGTCTTAACCAAAGGGAGAATTCAGAGTCTACAACACATTTTATTTTTCTGTTCGTCTTCATCTCGGATTGCACAGGACAGATCGTCCATTTGCAATGCACAGACGTCTGTGCTGAACGTTACGAATACGTTGTACCAAAACGTGGAACTACCTTCAGTACTGAAATTCTCTAATTCCCGCATTATTTGGTACCTGCCATTGCTTGTTTGAAACTGATTGTTTGTAAGAGGGATGTACTTCCAGCAGTCATGGGGCAGCCACACAACCAAACCCGCTTTGGTTTGTAAAGAATTACCAACACTATCCATTCCATTTGTTAGAAAGAGGAGAACAGCTAATAAACTTTATTGTACAATATGTTTGTCAAGTGTGTTTTTCATCAAAAGAAATACATGTGTTGTAGCAGTTGATAATAATTGACTCAGACTGTAAATGAAACTAATGTGTTAGAGGAGCTCTGGTGACCAGAGTGGGGCTAGTGAAGTTATTACATTAAAAGCAGGTGTAAATTTGGGATACAAATATTGCTGGTTATGTGGAATGCTTATAAGACTTAGAGTAAGTGTAAGGTGGCACAAAATAATTTTTGATTTTTTACATTTGCGTAGTAGGTGTGCTGTCTTTCTGAGACTCCTGGCTGTGGAGGTTCAAGGTGTATAACTTTGATGTGACTCTTGATATTTTTATATTTTTAAAGGAGCTGAAAGCGTCCTGTAGTCTGCCTCTTGGAAAGTGACTGATTCTCTGAGGTGTATAGTGAGGCATTTGAAAGCAGGCCAACTTTAAAAGAAATAGAAGGATCTAAATCTTAGCTATCCAATCTGCAAAACATAATAACCTCTGAGACCTCTATATTGTATATGCTTTTTTTTTTTGACCCCTTTTTTTAACCTGTCAGAGTCCTGTTCAGCTGGGTACATAGGCGAGGAATTACTCTTTCATCCATTGGAGTGTCTGAATAACTTTTCACTGAACTTCTCCCAGGCATTTTTCAAGTATGAGCCAGGTGTCACTGAATCCTGCACTCACGCTGAAGTCCACAGCACCTGTCTTGCACGGGTGTCGTGCTAGAGCGAAAACAAGGCTTGGGTCAGGAAAATCCAAAGGATTTTTGAGATACCTTTTTTACATTCTTGGTTTTGTCTGTTTCAGATGTTGCCCTTAAGCCCTGGCAGAAAGGTTGATTCTGACAGCCCTGATGCTCCAAGTTGACTTGTTTTATCTTGTAATTTTTAAGATTGTGCATTAATTAGTGTTTCTCTGGATCTCATTTTTCCACTATCAGCTGGTGATATGTCTTTGATTCTTGGGCACGCTTTGCTTTTTGTATTTTAAAGATATATCTTGCAGTACATGTACTTCTTTTAAGGCTTACAATTTAACAACTAGAGTAATTGAGGAGTCCAAATGGTGTCATACTGATGCATTACCACCCTACTTCTGCTGGCCCAATGAAGGCTAACCCAATTTGTAAGTGCTACCCAGAAGCATGCTTGATGAAGTATTTGCTGCTCTTATTTCTTTCAGTTATACTAATCAGTTCCTTTGTGGATATTTTTGCTAAATTGTGCTGAAAGTTAGGTTAAGAACTTTATTAACTCCTTAAACCATAGATATTCATAGATTTATGACTAAAATAGGAAAATTAGCTAAATTATCATGAACTGTGCTTGTGTGATGGTTTATATATATTTTTTATATTTATATGTATATAAAGCACGTATCACCATATTGATAAACATTCCTTGGAATCACTCTGGCCAGGGTAGTTCCACTCTAGAGGTGGTTGCATTCAGAATAGGCCCTCTGTAGAAAAAAGGCTGCTCTTCTACCTTCTGAACCTTTATAGCAGAGGATCAGAACCACCACAGGAGAGGCCTGGGACTAAATTCATTTCTTACTAACCTTGTCCTTGCAGTCTTAAGCAACTGGTGCTCAGGCTGGGTGACAGTGTTGTCACCTGTGTATGTAAGCCTTGCTGCAAGCATTAGAGGGCTTGGGAGATCTGGCCAGTGGAAAGGGCACAGGAAGATCTAAATAACAGATCCTTCTGGAAATTTGGAAGGACTCTGGTGATGCCAGGCTGTTCTTTAGCACTTCAGACAACATAGGAGTGACTGATTTCAGATGGTGTAGGCAGCCAGGAATCAGAGCTTGGCCATACAGTTTTGTTTAAGAAGAAGATCTGGAATGGTCGTTATGTATTTTTTTGAAGTTCTAAATTTGAAATAGCAATTAATTGACTGTTGTCTTACAGGTGCTAGTAGGTGTTACAACTAAGTAGCCTGACCAAATTGCAGTCAGATAGCTAAGTAACTAACTCCTGAAAGCATCCATGCAACGTTACTGGCTGGCTGGACTGTCTGAAGGATGCACACGGTTGTTGTTTGTTCATGCTTCAGTAGAAGATGATAAAGATGTGCATGGGGATTCGCAGCGCTTCACAGCTGTTCTTCTTCTGGTAGCTGGGTGCTGAGCTGAGAAATGGCAGTCAGCAGAGCAGAGTAGCATTAAATGGCCTTTATCTAAACAAAGTGCTGCAAGGCAGTTCATTGACTAATGAGAAATGAAGAAAAGGGCAACACAAATGAGTGTTGCTCTATGAAAGCTACTCTAAAAGTCACAGCAGCTTTTAACAGAGCTATTGCCAGCAGAGTTTTTATTCTTTCTGGGAGAGAAGCCTTCCTGGGCCTTCTTCAAAATCTTAAAAAAAAATAAAATCAAACGACTTCAGCTATTTCGTAGTGTTTGCTATTAAATTTCAAGAGATGTGCATTTAGCATGCACTGTACCACCTGTGGAGTGTACAGGCTTCACAGTTGCAAGAGCCTGGGTTTCTTGTTGTGGCTTTATGAAATCCGTGACTATGCTGAGAATGTGGCAAAAAAAGTGACCGTCAGCTCTGTCTGATAAAGTGCTTAGCTTGAATCTGCTTTTGCTTCCTGATCCCCACACACAGGTTATACATAAAACTTGTCCTTAAAATAAGAATTTCTTTACACAACCCTGCCTTACCCCTCTGAGGTGGTTGTTAGCTGTTTATCGAAGTCCATAGGTGGTGCTAAAGCAGTAACAGTCTTGTTGGTGACTCATATTTTTGCAATTTCCTGGTCTGGTTTTTTTTTTTTTCAAGTGTAGAGATGGTGTGAAGAGAGGTGAGCTTTTTTTTCCCCGTAGTTGTTACGAGGTGACGTGTGCCAAGGTAAGCAAGACAAATTGTTGAACAAAGTGCACCTGCAATTGAATGCTGCTGATTTTCACCAAAGAGCAGGCTGGGGAGAGCACACTCACAGAAGCCTTGATCTCTGCATGTTCTGAGGGCCGGAAAAAGCACAAATCCTGGATTTTTCGCCATGAAGAGCTCCAGAAATGTATTCTGTCTTCTCTTCTTTCATGCTGGTAAGTGCCCTCCAAAAACTTTTCTGTGGCATAGTGTGTTTGGGGTTGACTTCTACATGATGTGAAAGAGCAGAGGGAAACGAGAACCTTTACAGAACAAAGCTCATATGGCCAGGAAAAGAGATAGAAAGAAAGAAAGAAAAACTGGAAAAAGAGTAGAAACTGCTGCATTGAACAACATGTACGTGTCTTGACTGGTGTCAAATGTTGTATTTCCTCAGCACTGAATCTCATTACTTTGGTTCAGTGGTATTTGTTTCTCATGAATGTGAACAGTTCTATGATGCTTATTTTGTAAAAACAAGTAATTGTCATGCTCTGTGCAACATGTTTGCTTTTTCGTGTTGCTACCAAATTCTAACGGTATTTTTTTAATTTCACTGGAGGTGTGGATTCTGTTTGTGGAGCACTCTGCAGTGCTTCAAAAATAAATGATCCTGGTTTGGGGGGGTTTTTTTGGTTTGTTTTTCTTTTTAAACGTTGTTTCTGTTGAAAGCCCTTGATGGTATTTTAATAGTTTTTATTAATAGCAATTTGATAAGATGTTACACAATGTAGTGCTGTTACTATCAGGAAGGGACTTAATTGGATGTTTGCCAGTGATGATGGCTATATGTGTGTTTAGAACCTTGAGCATATTTCAAATGGAATTTGCCACCTTCTGCCATTTCATGCTTTATGTATATCTCTAGATAAATAGAAGGGCCAGAATTGTGAATAGACTTGGGTTCAGAGATGGACCTGCTGTTTTAAGGTGTTCCTGTTGGCAATAGGAAGAGAGGCTCACTACAGACCTTGTCTGTGCTCAAGCCCAATTTATGTGGTTTAACTCGTGCAGAAGGAAACAAAATTGCCCAGGATCTAGCTTTCCTGTAACAACAAAATTCAGCAGTTTGGAAAGGGACAAATTAATTACCTCTTTTAGATGAGTGAGGAAAAAAGCAACAGATGCATGCTGTTTTGCTATTTTGGCTGAAATACGGAGCCAAATGAATTTTCTTTCATGTTTCAGGTGTATATGTCTGAGTTCTTGAAACAATTCATGCATTATCTCCCATGTGTGTATATCTAAAACGAGAATGCTGAGGATGAAGAATGGCACTTAGCTATACATACAGAGATGCTGAGCCCCCAATTTAATTTCCATTTTCTTGTGTTTAGGAGAAGAAAACCTCGAACTCCTTTATCAATGAAAACTTAGGTTCTTTTTCCTGCCCCAAGTAACTAATGGGAAAATTTCCTGCAGCTCAGAAGTGGGCAGTTTTGTCTCCTTATGTTGACACGTGCTGCCACAAAAACTTCCTGTAAGCTTTCCAAGTCTGACTTAATGCTTGTTGACAGCAGTAGAGTTGGCCCTGAGTTGCTGTGGAGCAGCAAGCCAAAGCCTCTCTTTCAGTGTTGGGACCAAAACAAGTTTTATGGCAT